TTAATCCTATATTTTATTCTATTCAGGCCAGGCCGGCTTGCTGGAAAAGCCAACTTTTTAGGGCGTGTCGGAAGGATCGGAGATCGGGGGTTATGCAAAGCTCCGGGGGTAGCTTATTCCAGAGGGAAGGCTCTCCCCCTGGGGGTCGCTAGCCGACACTGTCTGGCCAATGGCACCTTAAGGAGGCTAGGACTCTGCCCAGTTTGGAGAACCTCAAAATCCCACCCCTGGAAGACCCTGCAGATCTCTCACCAGGAGCATTATTACATTGGACATGGATGCACGAAGGATTCGGAGAGTAAAACATCGAGTCTGACATAATTCCTTCGCCGAAAGCTGGGTCTGCCTAGCAACAGGGGCGTGGCTTAGCAGCTTCATCAGACTGTCCTATCAGCGAGTGGACGATGTCAACCGCGACGTTGTCTGCAGTGGTGGGATACAACCGGTACAGCCTGGTACGGGCGTACCAGAGCCTGCTGGGAGTACCAGGTACTGTTCCAGTACGGTGCTCCGGAGGGCCCACCCGCCCTCCTTACCAGTATTTGAGCCGATCGGGGCTTCCGCGCATGCGCGCGGACCGAATAGTGTCTGTGTGATGCTCCGCCAAGCAGCTGGAGTGTCCTGGGTGCTAAGTACACATGCGCGTGCTGCGTGCGTACATGTGGTGGTTGCAACGGGATGCGGAACCCACCGTTGGTTGTCTGTTAAGACAAGAATATGTCTGGCAGCCACCGTGTGGTGGAAGTTGCGTTGAGCCAGATGGACCGCTCGTAACTAACCAGTTTATATTGTGAGTCCGGTCCTCCCAGTCTCAGTCTACGCCAACACCAGGGAGGATAATCGCCCACTCTACCAGGAACGTGGAGACCTCTAACACCAGCCTCTTTAGTGGAGATCTGCAGGGCGGCTACATGGACATCCCTGTCCCACCATGTCCCACCCTTGCCACCCGACCACACCCTTCCCAGGAGTCTCCATGCGGCCCATTTTGGATGCCAGGTAAGTGTAGGGCCCGCACGGAGGCTCGGGAAGGGGGAATAACGGGTCTCCTCTGTTTCCAGTCTCCGGAAGGCCTCGGGAGCCCGGGTGAAGCGGTTTCCGCCCTCCCAGAGGCTTGAGGAAAGCCTCCGGAACCTGGGGAGGGTGAGAAATGACACAGACCCACCGTGGTACAAGAGGCCACGCCCACTATGGCCAGGCCCACCCAACAACGGGGAAGCAAACCCACTGCTGCAACCCTATGGAAGGGAGAATTGATGTTGGGCATGAAGGCAGGGTCGAGTCTGAGGACAACCCGATTGTCGTGGAAGGAACAGAGATCCGCCCTGCTGGAGAGAGCGTTAAGCTCGGACACCCTCCTAGCCGAGGTGATCGCTACCAGGAAGACCACCTTGAGGGTCAGGAACTGTAGGCTCACCTCCCTCAGGGGCTCGAACGGCGCCTCCAGCAGTGCCTGGAGCACCGTGGGAAGGTCCCAGGTGTGAAAGCAGTGGACAGCCGGGGACCGAAGGTTTGCTGCCTCTCTGAGGAATCGCCTTATGACCGGGTGCTGGGACAAGGATCGGGAGCCTGCCCTCCCCCCAAAAAACTGTGGCTAAGGCTGAGACCTGCCTCCTGAGGGTACTGTGGTCCAACCCCTTCTCTAGGCCATCCTGGAGGAAGTCCAGTGCCTGGGGCATGGAGGCCGAGGTCGGGTTTATCCCCGAAGCCCGGCACCAGGTCGCAAAGGCGGCCCAGGACGTGTTGTAGATGCGAGTGGTGGAACCCCTTCTGGAAGCCTCAATGGTCCTAATGACCCCGACGGAGAAGTGGGCTTCCCTTAGCTGCTCCCGCTCAAGCGCCAGGCGATCAGATGGAGCCACTCTGGATCTGGGTGCTCCAGAGTCCCCTGGCACAGAGCCACCTTCCCCTGTGGGATTCTCCGATGGGGAAGCTTCAACATGTCCACCAGATCTGCGAACCAGGGGCGACGGGGCCACTAGGATGACCTTTGCCCTCTCTTATAC